ACGTTGCTTGATCGTTCCTTTCTTCGGGTGCAGGGGCCTATTGTTGATGCTATTTTAGCTGCTGGCCGAGCAGGGGCATCTCAAAGCTCTTGTCCTCTCATGTATCAATGGCATGGTACAAGATATTGGGGCGCTGCTCACGGTCTGGCAGGGATAATGTACGTCCTGATGCATTTCCCTTTGTCAGCAAGGGATGCTGCAGATGTGAAAGAAACGCTGCTCTACATGATAGCCAACAGGTTTCAGTCTGGAAACTATCCATCCAGTGACGGCAATCAACGGGACAAGTTGATCCACTGGTGTCATGGTGCACCTGGAATCTGCCTCACGCTGTGCAAAGCTGCCAAGGTTTGTCACTACGGCATTTCTGCGAAATAACGCGAAAGTTTCAGGTGTTTCCTGAGCCTGTATTTCGGGAAGCCGCTGTTGCTGCTGGAGAGCTCATCTGGAAGAAGGGCCTTTTACGACGAGTTGGACTCTGCCATGGGGTCAGTGGCAACACATATCCATTTCTGGCTCTTTACCGGCTTACTGGGGATAGGAAGCATCTTTTCCGTGCTCGGTCATTCGCCACCTTCTTGTGCAACCAAGGCAGAGAGCTTATTGACTCGGGGGACATGCACGGTGGGGATCACCCATACTCCTTGTTTGAAGGACTTGCAGGAACGGCCTTTCTTTGGCTCGACTTGCAGCGTCCTGAGGAAGCGAGATTTCCCGGTTACGAGCTGTAGTGGAAGGAACAGGTTGTATGTAACATAGTAGGCAGCAGTTTGTTTATTTATGTCAACGATAACGTGGTGGTGACGAGTCGACTTATATCTAGTAGCGGCACTCGGAATCGGGCCTCTGGCTTCCACTACAGAAGGAAAGACTGGCTGGACATTTCTTGAGGCAGTTGTATGTGAAGCTGGCGCTGATGAGGTTTGGGAGGGGCTTTAGAAATAGGCTGGGTACCTCGCCTTGGAGATAGTTTCCGTCCAAGAACAATCTGGCCAGCGGTAGAGCAGTGGAACCATCGGCTGCAACTTTCTTCGCGTACTCGTCTGGGATCCTACTGGTGAAATGGTTGCTGCTTAAGGAGAGGGATGAAAGCCTGTTAAGCCTCGACAACGCAACCGGCAAGCTGCCTCGGATGTTGTTATGACTCGCGTCAAAAGCAACGAGCTGGCTGTTGCTAAAATCCAGGTGATCGGTTGAGCTGATTGAAGTGAGCTGGTTGTGGGAAAGGTTTAGCTGCTGGAGGCTCGGTAGCAAGAATATCGTGGAAGGGAGAGGTCCCCTTACTTTGTTGCTGCTCAAGTCCAGCACCTCGAGATCCTGAAACCTTGTAACGTCGGGGCTGTCAAGCGTCAGAGAGGCTGCGTTACTTCGCAGTGAAAGCTGGTATAGAGACTTCGGCAGCTTGGAGAAGAGCAGACTATCCGTGAAGCCATTATGGCTGGCGTCGAAGTATCTCAGGTTGACGGTATTGGAGAGTGACGTCGGAAGCGCACCAGCGAATTGATTGTTTTGGAGGTAAAGCCTTTGCAAATCTTTCATAGAAGAAAACAAACTTACTGGAAGAGTTCCACTAAGCTTGTTGTTTGCCACCGACAGGTACTCAAGCTTGTTGAGCTGAGCCATGGATTGTGGGAGAGCCCCGGACAGCTTGTTTCCTGACAAGTCCAACTTCTGCAAATTCCTGAGCCTCGCAATTTCCGAAGGGATGGATCCCGGGAAAGAA